ATCCAAGATCTTGTATTCTCCAAGATGTTACACTATCTATGACTATATATCTATCTCTCTCTTTCTCTATCTATCTATCAATATATCTATCTATCTATCTCTATCTATCCCTCTATCTATAAGGAACCGCAGTAGACAAAAGGCGTTGCTATAGCAACACGTTATGTTTACGCTGCATTTTCTATGAGGTAAATATTACCCGCTGGCGGATATGGGTATAAATGGCAATTTATTTGGCGATTTTTTCAATCTGACTTCCTATTGACAATTTTTAACAACACAGGGTGCTATATAACACACTTTCAGGAAAAGTCACGGACTGGGAGACTTTAATATGTTATGGAAAAAAGTTACATACAATAAAAAAACAGCTGCGGGCAAAATGTACCCGTTGGCGGTTCTAGTGTTAATCACAGGGTTTGTCAAGCAAAGGGACTGTAGTCCCAAACGATAGCTGAGGATTATGGGTAATCAGTTCAGTGGGTGTGTATTGCCTATGTCTGTTTCATATTTGTTTCTCCGAATCGAAGGNTAGTCTTCCTCCTCCGGGAACGCGGCCCCCTGGCCCCTCGGGAGGGTGAACATGAATGGCACCTCGTCATCCTGTTCCCCCATCTCCACCACCTCGAACCTCGAGGTGGTGGAGATGGGGGAACAGGATGACGAGGTGCCATTCATGTTCACCCTCCCGAGGGGCCAGGGGGCCGCGTTCCCGGAGGAGGAAGACTACGAGGACGCTTCGTCGTCCGGTACTTTCGGGTCCGGCGGCCAGGAATGTCCAGCACACAGGTCTGCGCGTCTGGACTTCCTGGATGTGATTACCCTGGCGGCAGAGCGCGTGGGCCTACCGCTCCCCCCACTGCTGCCACCGAGGCGAGTAAGCCGCCTTCGACAGGGGTTTACGGCCCGGTGCATCCAGCGCTTTTGACCACAGCGGAAACTGCGGGCCTCCAACGGCACAGGACATAGGGTTGGCAGGACCCCCGGCAGAAGAGTAGTCGGCGGAGTCTCCAACGGCACAGAACATAGAATTGGCAGGACCCCCGGCAGAAGAGTAGTCGGCGGNCCATTGAACACGTCTTTTGATCAGATTGACAGCTACGTTGAGACGATCTCCCATAAAAGCTCAGTAAAGGTACGTGTTGTGATGTCTGTGTTTGCTTCCCCTGTCAAGAGTTTGGATCACTCAGTGATGATATATATACCTAAATAATCTTTGGAGCCTCAGCTTTAATCTGATATCTTGTATGTGCAGCTACGATAAGTAATAAGGGTATCTTTTATCTTGAGTTCTGTGCCAAAGTGCGTTAGCATTTTTTGCTCAGGGGTCATTTAGATGCTTCTTATAAGACTTGTGTTTTGTTTTGGTAAAAATGGTTTGTATCGTCAGTTAGCTGAGATTATTCCCGTTAATCTGGTATAACACATTAATAGGTTATTAAATATAAAGATCCCCTGAGACACAATGTCATGAAAAGAAAAAAAAAGTACCCGCCGCCGGGGACCTTGGGGCTTAACCGGTTAATATTTAGCAGGGACTCAACCTGAGCCTGAATCACACTTTGTACGAAATACACAGCCAGGCTAATGAACTGATCCTGAAGAAAAAGTTATCTTTACATTATGATAAACAATACACCATAAGGTTTTTAGATTATACACATATTTTTAATGAAGTATAGCCCGCTTAATGACCTGATGTCTATAATGTCTGTCGCTGTAGAGATGGTCTGAAAGTACTCTGACTGTCGTTGACAGACACAGCTAATGGCACTTTACTCAGTAGCACAGAATCCATCAAGATAAGCCTTCAGACTGCCATTGAACCTTGCCACACACAAGGTTTTAAAGTTGTTCAACAACTTGGGTAAGCCCGCCCCACCGACAGTGCCAATCAATTGAGCAGCTCCTTTTTTTTTCCTACCGCTGGTTTGTATCATAATTCATCTCCCAAAGTATGTGATGCTGCTTTTTCATCTGTAAGCACACACGTGCATGACCGCCAAGCCACAGCCGACGCCAGAGAGCTACTGTAGGCAAAGAAAACACAGCGTGCTATTACTTTCCCCCCGCGCAGTCTGCACACGCTTGCCGCACAGCCTGCCTTGCCCCCCGAAAAAAAGGAGTCTGCTTCTGATTATGTGTGATCATCCCCGGGCTCGCCAGCTACGTTTCAGACTCACGGGAGTCATTTTTTCTTTTTAAATCTGGAACCCAGTCAAAAGGAATTACATTGTAGCTTGTCTAAGCCATTGTTAATTGCACTCATGGCAGCTACCACCACTTACTGATGCTCCTCTTGTTATATAAAGTTGTTTTACTCATCATTAGCAATGCCATGCTATTTGTAGCCCACATAATGGAGACTCTATTTTCAGAGCTTTGCACTTGCCAATGCATTCAACGGTACCACTCATCTGTTAATTTTAAAAGCCCCATCAAGTATCGTAATGACACATTATCATTACAAATTAAAACATAATTTATCAATAGAAGCTCACAGTGTCCATTATTCTGCTTCAATGTAGGAAATCCCCGCACTTGGTAGCCAAAGATAAGAAGCATTGAATATATTCAAACAAATATGCAATGTGGGCAAGCTATTTAAATAATATAACATGTGTAAGCCATGTAACAACCTCTTCATGTGTTTTCACCCTTCTGTATCTGTTTCGTTTATCAGTTTTTGACCACAAAATATATCAACAAAGTCCTATTATGTGAACTATTACTTTGATAGATGATGTAGTGAGTGCTAGGAGTGCAATTAGGGAAAATAGCTGCAAATTGAACCCCAGTATTTTCCCTAAACATAGGCAAAGCTACGTTTTCGTACCAGCAGATTCACGGGGGAATGCCGTGATATAAAGTCGTGGAAAGCAGAGATGAAGTACACGGTGTGTGTTTGTGCTCTCAGCGGTTCAGGTTAGTTATTTTGGGCAAATCTGTGAAACCGTCTTTCCCTCAAACACGAGGAAAAAGCATTTGGAGATGAAATTCGATAGCATTCGTGTTTTGATCCAAATCGTGGGGATACGCTGACGGTTTGAAAAATGTGAATGATGATATAATGATATGATTGCCAACATTAACAAGTAAGGACATTATAGTCGTATCTGTGGAAGTGCTGCAATGTGATACTTTGTTGTTCGTGTGGGAGACCCCCTCCTCCCCTTCCTCTGTAGGGAAGCCACTGGTTAGGGTCAGCCACAGAAAAACAGTGGAAAATGATTTCTGATGCATGAGTCCTAATACTATACGGTAGCTGCCAAAAGGCTATTTTAGGTTATTTAGGCTAGGGTTTCCCAAAGTGGGGGTCGCGATTACAAAATTAAAATTAAAAATAAAATTTAAAAAAATCTTTTTTTTTATCAATTTAAAAAATATATATTATTAATAATAACGTGTGCATAGACATTTTTCAGGGGCGGACTGGCCATCTGTATAATTTCCACGCAGCGAGGCTCCCCCCGTTGACAATCCACTATAGCGCAGTGTTTCCCCTGTTACCCCTAATTTAGACCATACATTTACAATAATGCTGGATTTAATAATGTATTGGTAGTTCCATGACACTTTTGGCTGATTGGAACCTCTAAAACAGCAACTAAATGTACCTTTTTTCTGGGATTGTTAGTTAAAATCAGAACCAGAATACAGATTGAGTAGGGTTTTTCAATCAATAAATCTGCTTTTGGTGCTGGATTATTTGTGCATATGTACACAAATCAAGAAACAGATAAAGAACGAAAATACAAATAAAAAACTGAAATAATATAAAATATGTAAAATTTATCTGATCCAAGTGGAAGAAGTGGTTTGCAGAAAAACTTTAAAATGTCCAGGGACTGGGCCCCCATGAAGTTGACTATATGGTAGAGCTGTTGGCCCAAATATTGTGGCTTGGCCCCGTGCGGATGACCCGGGTTCAAATCCGGCCGAAGACCATATGACGTGTGTCATCCCCTCTGTCTCCCCCTTTCAACAATGTGACTTTAACAAAGGCACTGGTAGTCTGTAAAACATTTTTTATTTTTTATTAACATTTCCTGGACTGTGCTGAGCCTACATTATCACTGTTAACAATTACTGGATTATGATCATTGGTGTGTTAATTGGTTCATCACAGATGGAACATTTTCAGAAAATTTGATTACCTTTATACACTGCTGCTGGATATATTAACCTATAATTATATTTCAATGTTGAAAAACATTTATTCAGTTGTATCTCTCTAAATGTATAAATTAAAGCTGTAAAAACAGTAACAAGGGAAAAAAGTACAATATTGGCTTCCATAATGTGGCTGAATAGAAGTAAAAAGTATAGGATAAAAGAAAAGTACTCAGGCACACGTAACTCTAAATTGTATTCAGTTACAATGTACAAGTATTGCTATTGTTGGTTTATAGACTACTGCATGACAATGGTAATTAAAAGACAATTAAAAGTATTTTCTTTGACAACATATACAAAATATCTATTATTTTTCATAAAAAGGAAGGGGTAAAAGTAAAATATTTGACACAGTATTGATACTAACATATGTTGAATGCATATTATATATTAGCGTAGTCCGAAAGTAACAGAAAAATGCAGTCAACAGTATACCCTGTCGGCCAAATTATGATACTTAGTGAATATTAATTGTTACGGAATACATCTTTAAAGTAACCCTTTCAACTCACACACACACACACACACACACACACACACACACACACACACACACACACACACACACACACACACACACACACACACACACACACAGACACACAGACACACGTCTCCCACCTCCACCGATGGGATCCCGGGGTAGAAGACATCACTAGTGCGGGAGGTTGCAGGAGCCGGGTCGCGTCATCCCTGGATGGGCGGTCCACTGACGGGAGGTGTTTTCCTCATTTAAAAGCACCGGAGCCGGCCCCTCTGACAAACCGCTCTGCGTCATCGACCTGGGGAGACTCTTGAAAAACCTCCTTCGGGCTGAAGCGAGTCAAACTCACCTCACTCTAGCAGCCCTATAACTGCTCCAGTCCTACTTTTCTCCCCTCTCATCTGGTGCGCAGTGCACCGCGTTGTGGTTCCAAGTTGTAACCCACACTCCCTTTGCTTCAAACTCGCTGCGAATTATGCTTTTTTTTTTACGGTGTGTGAATTTATCTAGCGCCTAAAACAGTATCATTCCAGTCTCGAGAAAGTTGCTCATCGCTTGTTGAATGCAGGATACCTTTTGCCCGAGCGTCAGTCCCAAGTTCAGCTTCGGAGCAGCCGGTAAGGAGCGGGGACTGCACTTTCTCACCTCTCTCGCCGCCGATATGAAGTCTGCAGAAGAAGGTAAAGTATTTTTGTTTGATTTGATTGAAGTTATGTTTTTAACCGCTGACCTTTTTAACTTGCTGTCGTGAAAGAATCTTAGATTTTAAGATGTGTTTACACCAGGTGCTGTAGGTATGATGTGAGTTCAAAGGGACCTTAAGCACTACTGTGTGTAGATGTCTAATATTGTTAAATAAGCTAATACTACAATGAAAACGAGCTGTGAACTGCTAAGTCATTTGTCTTTTAAAGATGTATTAAAATAAACCCACCAGCAAATCTCTTGTTTTAAACTTGAGCAACTCACTGAAATATTATTTGTCCATTTGTCACTTTATTAATTGGTATTCAAAGTCAAAACTATTAAGGAAACATATGCAATGATGCTCTTGTGAGTTGTTTGTCTAAAACTGTCACTAGATAAATAGTGCTGCTTGGTCTTTGCTCTGCATGCATCAGGAACCAGTTAGCACTCACTAACAGTACATTGAGTGGCATGCACCCATCCACACCATTAGGTGTCTCCAGCTGTCAGTGCAGGTGCTTGTCATCATGTGCAAACAACACTGAAGTGGGTAACACTGCTAGTGTCACCGTCACTCCTCTTGATATAAGATTAAATTATTAAAATAAAAAATAAGGGTTTATGCAGATTAAAAATTGTCAAAAGTCAGACAGCCACCTCTTTCTTTAAATGCTGTGTCTTTGTTGGCTTTAGTTTGCATGTTGATTCAGCGTTGATTTATCATTTTATTTGGCCCTTATGGTAGCAAAATTAGATTAGGCCCATCAGAATTCATTGATGGTTCGACTTTTCATATTACACAGTCTTCCAACGCTGATGTAACTAACTTTTTCTTTTTGTGGATTTTGGTAATTTCATTTTGGTGTGTGTGTGTGTGTGTGTGTGTGTGTGTGTGTGTGTGTGTGTGTGTGTGTGTGTGTGTGTGTGAGTGTGAGAGTGTGAGAGAGAGAGAGAGAGAGACAGAGAGAGAGAGCTATATATGATCTGCGCATTCAGAGATCCCAGGATGTTTTCTTTACAATGAAACATGTTCAAACACACAAACCTTTAGCAATATGCTGATGACTGCTTTTTATCACATACATTAACTAAATATATAAATGCAAAAGACACGCTTTACCATCGTTTCGCCCCAGCCCACAGTCAGCCATGTGTGTGATAAGTGGCCCCTGGGTTCTTGGTTCCAGAGGCTGCATATGACTTCTGTGGGCGACGACCTATCTCTCCCTGAGGTCCCGTCAGTCTTTTGACCACAATTCCTTTGAATAAGCCTATCCATTCTTTAGTCACGCTGGTCTGCTTTATGGGGAGTGAGTGTTTTGATCGTGATAGCATAATTGAGAACATATTTGGAGGACAGAAAGAGCATGCTATAATATGTGTGATAGTCAGTGTTTTCAAATTAACTCCGCGCACAACACATTTGGAATGAGCTGCAAACAATTGTGGCTTTAACTCAAATGCAAGAGTGAGTCATTTTCTTTATTCTCCTTTCATTCTTTTCAACCCACAAATTGTGATCTGCTACAATTTTGTTAGTTCAGCAGCAGACGTGTGACCTGAAAGAAAAAAAAAAGTTTTGAGATCATGCAGTAGCACACAAAAGTGAAAGTCCCCGTGTTTTTGAGTGGGTGGTAAAAGAAGTCAAGTATGTTGTTGAACGCACTGATCAAGTGCACATTTGAAGAGGGAAAAAAAATAACAGCTGCAACTCTGAGCAGAGTCAGTCAGGCCTGAAGTAAGGACGTGTGTCACACGGGGTGGAGTGGGCAGGAGATTATCATCTGTTCAGCACTAGAAGAGGGTGAACCAGAGGCAAAAAGCATCAGAGGAAACTGAGCTGAAGACATACGCTTGTTTTTATGAAATTTAGCGTATAATCACTGGGGTGGAGATGAGTTTCCAGCATGAAGAGCAAGAGTTTGATTTCAGGTCTGTGTTTGAGTACAGCCTAGATGTCCAGAACGAACCTGAGAGAGGTGGGTACATTCACTGGAGGTTTTTTTTTTCATTATTGTATATCCTGTAAAATGTACAGTGCGAGAGTGCTCCTGTGTACTGGAGTCAAAACAATTTCAGAAGGCAGTGTCTTTCTTTGTTAAAGGCTGTGAAAGTGTCTGCATTTAGCATTCTGCCACACAAACAAAACATGACTTTTTGCAACGCCTTATAAGAAGGTATTTTCTTTTTTATAATTATAAGTAAAAATGTATGACACGTGTCCTTAGCTTTACTGAACTTAGTGGGCACATTGAATTTGGTGCACATCGTATTCTCACATCTGAAAATAGACTCTCATAACTAATTTTAGACTGCCACATATTATGGTGTGTGTGACAGATTTGTCATTTCATGTGATGCACAGCATTGTGGTCAACAAAATATAGCACTCTGCATCAAGGGGAATGCCCTTCACCGGGTTTCAGACTGAAAGAATTTCATTCTTAGACCACTTTTACCCTCATTGACATTATCGCTAAAAAAGCAGAGATGAGTTTTACAACCGTTGACGCATTAGCCAGGCTAACGGAAAAAGCATACCTGCTCGGCTCCATTGACTGAATTTGTATGTCATTGCATTTGCCAGTGATTTCATCGTGCGTTTGCTTGTTGTATGTGCCCTTTGCTTGTTTGTGTACCACGGCGCATCTGTGTGTAACGTTGCAGCAAACTCTCCTTGACTTAATCACAAGCTCAGAGCGATGCGAGAGTGCTGTCAGTTTTCCACAGGGGAGGGCCTAATTCACTCAGTGAGTGATGCAATCAATCAAATAAAGCATCCATCAGCGCTGCTAGAGGAATTCGTGTAGAGTACATATGATGGCAGGGAGTGCCAAATAGAGCCTTGGATGAACTGATCAAACAAACAGAATGGCTGTGCAACTTGCGACTACACAGCAACCACATACAGTAACTGGTCTGAGATGATGGCTAAGCTTCTCCAGATGTTTATAGAGAAGGGAGGCAGTCATTTGCTGTGGGACGTATTGGTTACATTTGTGTAGGTATTGTTCTAAAATGCAATCAGAGTTAATTTCAACCTTAATATAATGGTTGTGAGCATTTTTGGAAGTATGTTGTACAATATTATACTACTAAAAACTTACCATATTCCTTCTTTTTTTTTTTACAGATGCATACAGCTACACACCAAATGTCAGCTTGTCCCTTCCATTGGGCATGGGAAACCCCTGTCTGGCTACCCAGTACCACACCTTACAGACCAGTCCAGTCATCTCAGTTTCCTCTTGCCATCAGACAGGCTACAGCCTTCAAAATGATAACCATGCAGCATCAGGCTACTACCTGCCCCACGGCCTGAGACCCAATGGTGCCCCGGCTTTGGAAAGCCCCCGTATTGAGATCACTGCCTACAGCCAGTATCCTGAGGATGAGGTAGAAGAGAGCAACAGTGAGGACCACATCATCAAACGAGGCGTCAACTCCATCGTGACGCTGACGCTGCCGAACGCCGATGGCTACCGCGATCCCAGCTGCCTCAGCCCAGCTAGTAGCGTTTCTTCACGTAGCTGCAACTCAGATGCTTCCTCTTACGAGTCCGGCTTCTACAACTACGACAACTCCCCACAGAACTCGCCTTGGCAGTCTCCCTGCGTGTCTCCCAAAGGCACGCCTACGCTCATGTCTTGCCCACATGCCAACGGTCCTGTAGCTTCCCCTCACCATTCTCCCTCGAACTCCCCTCAGATAGGAGCCGTGGCCGAGGAAGGCTGGCCGGCGCAACCTCGCGGCTCCAGGCCAAACTCCCCTTCCTGCAGTGGAGGCAATGGAGTCAACGGTGGTGGCATGGGGAAGAGAAAGTACAGCTTCAATGGCACCACCTACCGTCAGACATCCTGCTCACCCATCCAGTCGCCCATCCCCTCCCCACATATCTCCCCAAGGGTCAGCGTCACAGATGAGAACTGGCTCGCCAACACCAACCAGTACACCAACTCCGCCATTGTTGCTGCCATCAACGCTCTAACCACAGATGGAGTGGTAGACCTGGGGGAGGGAATCCCAATAAAGACACGGAAGACCATGCTGGACCACTCCATGGGTTTGAAGTTGGAGCCTGGTGATTTGCTGAGTCTTGATCGGGAGCTCTGTCATGAGGACTACCCCTCTCGGATGGCCCTCAAGAAGGAGAACTACGGTGGGGGGTTCCTGGATGTGCCCCAGCATCCATATTCCTGGTCTAAACCCAAGCCATACCTCAGGTAGGTTGATTTTCTACAGCATTAGTTGTGTAAAAAGTTGAACAATGTAAAACTTCCCAAGTAGTCTTTACATTTCCTTGACAACACAATGGAGCAATCAAAGGTGTTAACAGTCCTTATTCAAACACATACATGGTTTCTAATATCCACCTTAGAATGCTTTGATATTTTTCGGACAGTGCAAAGAAAAACCCTTTTTTCCAAAGATTCCGTCACTTTGTGCCGGTGTGCCAGATTTCAGTTTCAGTTTTTAATCTTCAAAGGCCATATCTGAAGGCAGAAATCCAAAAATGGCATGCTTTTCACTTCCACAAGAGGTTCTCTTTGAAGTGTAAAACTTTAAGATTTAAGAAATCATATTTCACAGGGTGGAGTTGCCCTGCAAGTGTGTGCCACCATTTCTATAGCAACCCTCACAAAAACAAGAACCCATGGACACATATCCCACAAATAAACACATACACTCAACTTTATCATCGATTTCGACTTTTGAGAAAAGCAAGCTTCTTCATTTTCAATTGTGGCATTTCTCCCAAGCCAATAGCACACTCTCCTTTCGGAAATAAAGTGTTTGATTAAGATAGTGAGCAACAGGAAGTAATGGTGACAGGCTTTACTGAGGGGAAGCAGTCTGCGGGTTAATCAGGCGGCTTGCTGCTGTGGTCCGTCGCGCCATCAGCCCATCTCTTTCTGTGTAGCCAACCTGATGTCATGCACTGACTGGGCAGATAAAGCCCGTGGGGGGAAATCAGTTCGTTTTGGGTCAACAAACAGCCCGCAAGTTCCACAAAGATGCCAGAGATTGTTTTCAGTTGAGCCACCCATCAGGTCAAGGGTTTGCGTTTACCAGGCATCCGGCATAGCGAAATATTGTCTTGCACATGTTTGTTTTGTTTTAGATATCACCACGGTGTTCACATGGGAAGCTCTGAATCTCAATCTCGAGAACAATGATGGTAAGCGAGGCCAGCTGTAGTTCTGAGAAAGAGATATGCTCCAAGGCAGGGTGTGCTGCTGACCTTATTCCATGGTATAACTCCATTGTCTTTACTACTAGTTATGCTGTGCTTTAGAATTATACAGTTGAATAATAATTGTATCAAAGGACTGGCTGATTGCCAGACTGGGTGGGATTGTTTTTGGCTCCTAGAAGTTCTCATTCTCCCACTGTCACATTCTTAAATCCCTGTGTATGTTTCCACCTGTCACACCATTATACAAAACACACATGCTCTCTTACCCGGGGCCAATTATCCCTAATTACATTTTCATTAAAAAAAACGACGACCAATTAATTAGACCTATAGAATTATGCATGTCAATGAATGACTTCAAATGATTAGATTATAGACCTTGATGAAAAGGAGAAAGATCAAGTTAGTTGGATTACACTAAAGTGTCTCTATTGGAGCTGATTTAAAGCAAGTGTAGAACTTGTTGATGCCAATGTTTGACAATTGGAAAAAAGCAACCTCATTGTTCCTATTTAGGCAATCAGACAAAGATAAAACAAAACAAACATTCTCCATGTGTTACTCTAACCAACCTGGAAATCAGTTTTGTTACAGACACAAAGTTTTAAGCACAGAAAAGGCAAATGTTTTATATGGAAGTGAATGTACTAATGTGTAGTGTTATTGCAGCCCATCTCTGCCATCTCTTGACTGGCAGCTTCCGTCCTGCTCTGGCCCGTACAACCTTCAGATCGAGGTGCAGCCAAAGTCCCACCACAGGGCTCACTACGAGACTGAAGGGAGCCGAGGGGCGGTGAAGGCGCTGTGTGGTAGCCACCCTGTAGTACAGGTATGTCAGAGACAGCCAGCAATTATTTTCTCATGATTCACTGTGCATATTTGTGTTTATCAGAAACAAAGTTAGCTTTGTGTTGATGTCATTACAGCACAAGTGGTAACAGTGCATGCTAATGGTAATGGTTTAACAACAATCAAAGTTAGTTTTTTGCTGGCTTGATGATCTTTCTTTCTCTCTCTCTCTTCAATCTCTTGCTGTTTTTTTTTTGTATACACACTAATGTCCATGTGTTTGTGTATGTGCTTGTACGCTGTGTTATTACGGTTCCTCTGAAACCAGGAGTCAATCTACTGTTGCAAAATGTCTCCCTGACTAGGAGCAGTGCGTGCTGACTCAATTAGTATAGAGTCGGACCATCGCCTCTCACTGTTGAGCACATAAAGAGCACACAGAGTTTCTTTCTCTGCTACACTGTCATCATAATGGGTTGACATCTTGGTTAAGTTTACTCAAGGTGGGGATCTAGTGGTGTGTGTCCTAAAGGTTGGCATCAATTGGCTTTTTTACTGTCGTCAATTCAAAATGAACAGTATTAGGTGAGCATTGCACCATAAGATTTTTCTAGACCAGTAGTGACTGATTCAAGTTGGTGGTCCATTCATGTCAAAGACTTCTTAGCATTTAATGTTGTTTGTAAATAGATGTTGTGAGCCGATCCTGCTGTTTTCAATGTCAAGCAGACTTGACAGCAGTTGGCCAACGTGGTGTTATGAAAAAAGGCCGGTCAAACTTCAGGTTTTCTCTGTAAATACAGGTATTTTTTCCCCCTCATTATAAACCACTTCATTTCCACATTTGAATGAGTCAACATTTTGACCTCTCTCCTCCCCATGAGGATGACCAGACTGGACTTCATACACAGCTTTTGCAGGTGAAGCTGGTCCTAATTTAGTTCACTTTCTGACTCACTCTAAAAAGGAATGAGTAATCATCTTGTTCCCTTTGCATACACAGTGTTGAACTGATTTAGATCGATGACTTGGTTGTTTATTTCAAACTACAGAGGCAATTTCTTTTGCGAAGGATGTTTTCAAGTCTTACTGTGTATGTCGAGCCATTACTATTAAGTAGTAGTCATCGAGAAAATATGACGACAGCTGCTTTATCTTAACACCTCCACTTGCTTGCATAGCTCATGCTTTACTCTTACTTTTCGGTGAAGTGTGATATATGCGTGTGCATATGCAGTCAATTGGAGTCTTGAGGGTTTCCTAACAGAGGGAACCCCGGGAAGCATTGCAATTGTTGAGAGATAAAAGGATTCCGGGACTAGGCAATCATCTGTAAATGCTAGAGGGTTACATATAGATGGAGACATGTAGCTTTAGGACGTTTGTTTGCAAAGTTTTGGAAAACAAATAATCTGACTGTAGATTTCTCTCTTGCTTTCTCAACTGGCTTTTGCCCAAAAACTAAAAATGAACTCTATATTCCAGAGATGTAGATCTGCAAATGGTCTGGAGTTTACCATTCACACTTGTAGCACACAAAAAAAGATTGTCTGTGCCAGATGTGTTTTCATTTACCGGAAATACTCATTTTGGTTGTGCCAAGGGATGGCTCATGGGTATAATGTGCAGGAAGCAAGATACAATGCCTATTACACTGCTGTCATGTGATGGGTTTGTAATGTGACCAGTCTCCTTCCTTTTGTGATGAGATTGGTGAAAGACGTCCCTGAATCTCTTTTTCTCTTTAGTTTACTTTTTGTTGGTGTCTTGGTGTAAATGACGTTTTTTTCTTCACCTTTGTACAGTATGTTTGTTTTCTTCCAGTTTCACATCAGCCATTATAGAAACGTCATCAACAAGTCCATTCAGGCAATGAGCGTCTCTATTCACACATGAGCTCAATCAGACATTACGCAGACCTTTTGTAACAGGAAGCTGGTAGGATAAAGTCAGTTTGATGTCTGGTCCAAATGGTTTAGACATTTGCGTTCTATACAGCTCTTCCGGGTAATGCCTAGATAATTTAATGGTTGCACTGCAGTAAAATGCTGTTGTCTTGGAGGATAGAGCATGCTATAGTCCCCAGTGCCCTGTGGTAATGAGTGGCAGGCGCTGGATGGGTTAGGTGCAGTCAAGGAGAATAAGTCAATAATGACACAGGGACAGGAGTGTAAGGAAGCAGCTAAGGAAGTGTGTGTGTTTGTGCTCAAGACTAGAGAGAAAGAGAGGGAAGGGGCAGAGGGAGTCACCAGGCAGCTGGGGCTTGGCTTTGCTGCCCCTGGAGATGTTCTGTATCCTGCTGATTAGGGCCTTGGTGGCACCGAGGTTGGGGGGGGGTGGTGATGGATAGGAGTCAGAATCACAGCACCCATCGGACACCACCTCCCCTTTCCATTAACTGATGCCTTCTTCTCTCCCTGGGGGGCCCGAGGATGTCATTTCTTGTGAACCGTTCATCCTTCAACCATTTCCCAAACCCCACACAAGCAGGCCTCCCTTGGTTGAAGCCCAGTCATCCACGGCTCTGTTGGGTTTTTTTAAGCTCATGGATGATCAGACATGTGCGCCATGAGTGATGGTGACATGTGTGTTGGAAAGCAACAAGCGATGAAAAACAGAAGGTTGAAAAACTCAAAGGGATACACTGTTTCTACTGTTCCCCAGAGAGACAAATAATCAAACCAAGATGCTGCTCAATTACTGTTGTTGTTTGTTTTTGAATAACAAGCGGAGGTGTTTTCTTGACAAACGCACAGGAAAGTTTAGCATCAGTGAGGTCTGACATCATCCTAAACTGAAGCAGATCAACCACACCATGTGGGTGGGTGTTAGAATGGAGAGTCTGCTCTCCAGCCACACACCGATGAAAACCTAGATTATAGGTTACCCTGCTGCTGCTTGCACCGACTCCCTGCGCTTTCTGTACCAAATCTCAGTCATTTATCCAGGTCTCGCACTTTGTCCTTCGCCTCCCTTCCTCTGCATCCGCAGCCTTTTAACCCCCTCTTTCCCTACTTTGTGACCCCGCGGCTGCTTTTCCACTTTATTTACTGCAGCAGACCACAGCGCCATTAAGGGGATCTAGGGTACTCCATTGGCTCCCCTCGCACTGTTCCAGACTCTCCCCTCTTTAACCACAGCTATGCCAAACGTCAACAGGATGATTTTCGAGGCCATGCTCAGGAAAAAAACAACAACCTGATGTACCTACTCGGAATATCACCACGACTTTGATTGATGGGTTTTCCAGAGAAGAATGGTGGGGGAAATGGTGGATTTGTGTTGTATTACGTTCACTGAGAATATAGTGACCCAGAACATGACCTCGCTCTGATCTAAAATATGGATTCAGTTTAATATGTTGCAAAGCTGTCCGGATTCAATATAGACATCCACCAGACTTTTAGTGGCAGCAGACAGCAACACCTGTGGAGTATTAAACATATCGCGAGGCGCGCAGCACACTCCTGCATATGGCTAGTTCCTATAGGATAATGACTGACCTATAGGGCTTTCCCCCTCACGCATACACACACTCAGTCTCTCATTAAGTCTAAAGCAGCAACAGACATGGTGTAATTTCAGCAGGATGTGGCCATCATCCCTATTAACGTGTGCTTGACTTAATACCCATCTCACTTCCTCTGCAACTGTATGTAATGCACATCAACTTTGCAGTATGTTTCCGCCACGACGACATGAAAGACCTTGGCAGGCATGTGCTCGGTTCTTTCGCATGTGCGGTTTCACCTTGGGATCCGGTGGCTGCGTAATGTCTCAAACTAAAGTCCCTGATCTACAGCGTTCTATACTGTAGCTGCTAATTGCTCATTAAATCCACCACCGCCTCTTGTTTGATATTCAGAAGGCTTGGTGTACCCTGTAGTGCTGTAAGAGCTTAGCCGGGGCTGTTATTTGTTGCCCAAAGGGGTATTTATGCCACTCTTAAATTGTGGTCACTCCATATGCAGGGCTTCCCTAGCTCTGGTATTGGGCTACCACTAATTACCAGTTAATGGCAAGTGGAAAAATTGGAGCGAAATGTGCATCATTTTCACTTTGTCTGAGGTGATAACCAGACAGCCCACAGATTTATGAGGTAAGACACTGGTGGGTAGTCGTGCCATTGGGGGGCACACGATCTTTAAAGCTTCATGTTACTGAAATACTTGGTAGGTTTGGATGATATTTCCTATGGTAGCAACATAGCCATCCTTTTTATATGGAATTTGGAGCATCACTGGTCTAGACATGGGATAGTACTTGAAACTATGCCCTCAATGACATAATACTAAAGTGCTCAGTTCAACAAAAACTTTAAACTGTTTGGTGGCTTTTATAAAGGAGCAGCCTTCAGAGCTATGGAAATGCGGGGCATTAAAGGACTGCATATGTTGCCTTATGCATTCAATATGAGGCACTGGAGACATTAGCAGGGCGGGAGGGTGATGGAGTAAAGTCTATAAAGAGAGACAACTTGGATGAGTGTACATTGAATTTGATACAGCAAAGACTGGCTATGTGACTGTCAGCACTTGACAGAGAGAGGGAGCGTGATAATGGGAAAAAGCCAGAATCTGCAGTTGTATTTCTCCTCGCCTGCTTCAGCTCCCCCCAAACCCACCTCCCCTCTGCTGCTTCCAGTCGTCTTCTGCTTCTCTTCTCCCCAAAGCTCGGCGCCACGTGGACCTCTACGAGTCATGACATTTCTCCAGGCAGTGATGAAATCACTGCAGAGGAATAGGAGAACTGCAGGCCTGTGGAGTGTATTCACACTCAATTTTTAGCAAGGCCAGACACATCTAATTTACCAGAAAGTCACATGTTTAAATCCTTTGTCTGAACTATTGAGACCAGGTGAAGGCAGCATTAAGACTGTCACTTTCACTAAAGAAATGTAGGGATTAAATGTGTTATGCAAATATATGTTTATCCGATGAAAAACGACCTGTGATATTTATCACAACTGACTGAAGCAAAACAAATTAACGGGCTATATCCCAAGGGCTGAAATTATCAATGAAGATGATGGATCTGTAACGGTCCAAAGGCAGTGGGAGATGAATGGTGGAAAGTGACTGGGATGCACCCTGCTCTCCATTTTTAGCTCGACACCCCTCCACATCATCACAACTGACCCAGACAATGCAGCTGCAAACAATTACACAATTAATGCATCAGCTGCCATACCCACAATGTTTTACTTGAGCCTCGGCTATCAGAAATGGCCCGTGCAGCAGAGGCTTGTGGTGGGAGGTGTAAATGTATCTAGCTGACACAGTGGCAGAAGTTGGCACCCTGAAACAGCTGTGAATCAAGCCTTGATTCAACTTCGGTTTAGATTATCTCAGAATAAATATACAGTACGTGTGCCAGACAGGCTGCAGTTGCTGCTAGAAAAGCTCATCTGGTCAAAATTAGCTGTGCTCTGGGCCAACCTCACAGGCTGACACAAATGAAGCTGAGCTGAAATCACAGGTGTGTGTGTGTGTGTGTGTGTGTGTGTGTGTGTGTGTGTGTGTGTGTGTGTGTGTGTGTGTGTGTGTGTGTGTGTGTGTGTGTGTGAAGCCTCTGTCCTCAACCCATGCTTTAAGTTTATGACACTATCTCTACTTTTTTCCCATATTATTCCCCCTTTGAGAATAAAATGAAGAAGTACGTTTTGTGCTCTGCTTGTGGTGTGCACTTGAGTAAGCATTGCAGGAGTAGAGCAGAAGCAAAAGGGGGTCTTAGGGGAAGGGTCAGAAGAGCACATATGTTAAAGGAATCGGGGGAGGTCGCCCAGGGGGGACTAGACCGGCTTTCTTTGCAGCTGGGAAGACCAGCGTCACCAAGAGGACTATCTGACCTCATTAATCACTTCCTCTCCTGCATGAGGTCACTACTGCTTTGAGTGCGGACGCCACCATCATAGTGCGCTACCGCAAGACGGGTGAAGGGATAAAGACCTCTCCTCCCTCCTGCCTGACTTGTGGGCCTCCTTACAGCCACGTGGCGGCTGATGTAATGTTTGGAGGTCACCAAGATATCCAAAGGAGTCTACTGAGGCATACGTGACAGGCGACATGGCTTTGTACCGCTGCTGCCTGCATTTTATTAAATCATATGGGAACGTCATGCAATTTAACGCTCTGGCATCTTAGATTTGTAACTCGTGGTCCACCATAGTGCTCTCACGAGTCAATACACAAGTAACTGGTAGCATGTGTGGCTATGGATAATTACCTCTGGTGACACCATAAGTAAAATATAACAAGCAGAGCGGGGTCTGCCGGTGAGATCACCGCATAGATGAAGTGGTCCCTTGGGATGCCAAGACTTCAAGAAGCTCCTGACCTCGGCCTAACTCACTGATGACTAGCATGTGTGACGAGCTCACAGGTCAAGACAGCTGCTAGAGACACTATGCGGAGCTGAAGAGGAAAATAGGACGGTTGGAACTGGAGATGAACGGCAGCCATAGTTTTACCTCTCCATTTGCACTTCCTTGATATCTGAATCAAAGCAAAGCCAAATAACTGCTGGTGATGAGATTATTGAGACATATGGATATATGCTCGACTCCTGTGGCTAGTCATACCCTATTTTTCTTCAACATGATTAAGACTGAAAATGGTTCTACTTGGAAGTAGAAACACATCCACTGCCTTATCCCAAATCCAGATGATCTGTCATCAAGTAAGGCATTTAAAAGAACTATAAGGCCAACTGTAATACAGTATGCAGACAAATTTATTCTCTAACCAAAGACATCAGGTGTCCATGACTCTGTAGCACTAATTTCCACAGAAGACTAGTGTCGAGTCCTACACCGACCTACCTCTTCCTCTTGCCCCCATATCTAACCGCATTCACGAAGGTGATTATAAACCAATTAATCAGATTATGTCATAGGGTCCATGTGGTCTGCATTTTGTTATATGACTCAGTCTGTTAAATAAACAACAGGGGTCTTTTATTCCATCCGACGGTACCACTGTTTTCACTCGGATGGAGCTCGAAGAAAATTGGTCTTAGCGATGCGCTTGGGTAATTGAGCCAATTTGTGGGAATTTTCAGATGGCCATGGCTTTGCAAGCCTGGTCTACAGTAAGTGATCCCTCACAGTAAACGTCACATTTGGTCAAGTAGCCACCTTGGTTGATCTAGATCCACCACTCGGTTTTAAACAGATGGATTCTCTAGTTTTCTGAAATGTTTTATATTTGGAGAGATTTTCAAGTCCAAACCAACATCTGCCCTTCTGACCATATGAACACTTTGCACTGCAAAGAGCAAGCCTATCCTGGGAGGTCTGCAATTCCAACAGAAATCCACACATTTTCATTGGCAGATTTTTCTGGTCAGAAATCACTCACAAAGTATCGGTTGTACTTCAACCACAATTTGGATTTTGCAACCCCGTCTCTGCGTTCATACTTTTGAACCATTACACACTTGGTTAAATCATAAAATATTGTTACTTTAGCAGTCGGAGAATTATCTGAGTGATGCTGAATTTAAATTGGCAGTTACCTTAGTATATACTTGAAGTGCCGTTGACCCCAAAAGTCAACAGTACTTTTCAAGCCATGCATGGCTATGGAGTTTTTCTTCTCCTTTTTTAAAGATTTGATCTTTTTATTACTTGAGCAGTAGCGGCTAATGGAGGGCTTCAAGAGGAAGTGGTAATTGTTTGAAGTGGTGGTTCTGATACAGGAGTCTCTTTCATCACAGTGGGACACCGTCTCCGAGCTTTAATGGAAATCATAATGCATGTTCATAATGGTCCAAAGGTAAATGGGCTGGGTCTCGTCTGCACACCAAACTCCACAAAGTGTTTTGGTGTTATTATATTCAAATGTTAAGTATGTTGAATTTGCAAATATTCAACATACTTGAATAGAAACATAAACATGTTTTCTGTATACATATACAGTACATGTTTTCTGGATAGAAACATGTTTGTACTTTGTTTAAAGCCATGATTCTGGTTCTATCTTATTTCCACTTATTACTTTAAAGTTGGTTAATCTCTGAAATTGGATTTTCCACCTGTAGCCCATATTATTATCATCCCAATCTTTAGTTTCCTCGAGTTTTCAACTTTTTATTCTGCTAGCTTCTCACAATAAGATAATATATACATATTTTTCAAAAGCCACTTCACACTCTGAGAGCCTCTTTTGAATACTTTACCCTCTGTAGGCATTACAATAACATCAGCAATTTTTTTAATTAACAGTAAAGTGATGTGATGCCCTCCATCAGTCTCCATGTCTCTGTACCAAAGAGACCATTACCCCAAACATACTGAGACATCCAAATACTTGTTTTTAACTTTCCCCTAAAGGAATGCAGAAAGCATAACAAAGACCACTGAAAAAGGGTCTCTAAACCAACCAAAAACAAACAAAGACAGGGGGCTTGTTCTCAAAGACCCTCTACCTTGTCAGAGCTATTATTAAAGGCCCCTTTAACTAACAATAGCCGATGTGCATTCAATCTGAATTTCCTAAATTAGGGGTTGCCTGAGATGGTGGTCTTAAAATCTGATGTTGCATCTCACCTGGTTCTCTTTGTTCTCCCGCCAGCTATATGGCTACATGGAAAGCGAGCCGCTCACACTGCAGCTGTTCATTGGGACCGCAGACGACCGCCTCCTGCGACCACATGCCTTCTACCAGGTTCACCGCATCACTGGCAAAACCGTCTCCACCGCCAGCCATGAAGTCATGCAATCCAACACCAAAGTTCTGGAGATCCCTCTGCTGCCCGAAAACAACATGAGAGCCATGTGAGTGCTCTTAGACCTCCATAAGTCGCCTATCAATCTTTTTTCTTTTCCACTGGTAAAGCTTTCTTTAAAATAAACCAACAAAAACACACACTCTTCTTTCTCTCTCAGCACCTTCCTCATTGCTTTAGCTCTACAGAATACCTGATGATAGGTACATTACAGCACACACTTCAGAATAGGCCATTAAAAATGAGGAAGAGATGAATGATTCTATGGGAGGAAAACAAGTTCATGGGTGTGCAGGAATTCAAAATGCTTTTGGCTTGGTGAAATGTCCCTCTAGGGCCCCATATGGTCAAAATGTAGACATTTCATTCTCGTAAGAAATAGAAAGCAAGTAGCTTTCATTACAAGCAAAATGTGCTGCACAGCACATAGTCAACCATAGTAGGCACAAACAAACCATTTAAAAATATTTGTAATGTTCGACGAAGAAATCATATTTTATCCAATCAAATATTTATTTGATATTTAAAAAAATAAAAATGTCATGTATAGGCCTACTCTATAGCTTTTTTTTCTTCTTCTCGCCTTTCTTGAATGTATTGATTTCTTAATTTGTTTGTTTTATTTTTTAAATCCAACATGAAATATTTCCAACAGTGGACCAATAAACATGTATAAAACAAGTGATAGGGTATCTCCAAAAGTAGGCCTAACAAGACTAGAGCTACAGTACGACCCTTGGTTTTTCAGTAAGATGTAGTCTAATAACATAGGCTTAGCCAATGTTAGCAAGTTGATTGTATTAGAAACACCGCAACTAAACTAACATATCTGCAAAAAAAACGTTTAACTTATTTTTGAATATTCTAAATTATAATCACACGTACAGGCAATTGGTTCTCATTTTGTCTTGTCATAGTAGGAACAATACAGGTTTTGCTAATATCGCTAACGATGGTGTCTTCACTTTATTAGACCTTTTTCACGGTAGCCATTTTGACGTGACAACACAGGTGTTGCTAATTACAGTAACGATGGTGCCTCAAACTGTAATTGTGCTAGAAAGTAGTGGCAGTGTGACAGCGAGCAGCTAAACACAAAATGAACAACTGGTAGACAATAATGGCAGTCTGTAACACCATGACAACAAAAGAGGACAGAGTAGGCCTATGTGAGTGTTAAGTTATCAATTTATTTTTATTTTAAGCAGTTGTAGAAAAAATAAGCTCTTGTCTTTCATCCATTTCAACTTCAACTAACTAACAGCAGCATTGTTAGCTAACTCTGAAGCACTGAAATGTTAGGCTAACAAACCATTAGCCTACCATTACCGGCTTATGCTACTAGCTTATCTTTGTTTACCAGCACACAATACTAATATTCAGTGCAGATGTTTGCTCATTTTCTGCTGTGTGCTCAACCAAAACATTAAGAAACATTTATTTGACTCTTTTAAATTTTGTTTAGCAACTCATGTGGCTTACCTTGGCCCCCCTTTAAAAACATTAGCATCGTTTTGCTAGGCGGAGGTACATTAGCTTTGGCCTCTCTCATTCTTTCAGACTAGCAGTAATTCAAGGGACCACGCTCAACAGTGTGTCAAGGCAGTAGCTCCCATCCTGGGGCTCCATTTAGACTAGGCTGCAGTGAATTATTTTGGACTGGGGCCCAGAACTCTGGCTTATGGATAAAACGGCTGTATCCAAACATAGGTTACATAAGACTGTTGCCTCTCTCTGCACATAAAGTTCATAATTCTTCTAAAATCTTAAAATACATTTGTAAAAATAGTGATTTACAACATCTCTATCTTATTGTCATGTTTGTTTAAATTCAAGAGATTGTGAAGATATTTAACGGACATACAAGTTTCCTGAATAGGCAGTGACCTTCTTGGGTTTAGCATGGATGATTTTAATATTTGTACTGCATTACAATATCATTACCAACAATACCACAATATCCCGTATATTGTATCATATTTAGGGGCCCTTCTCACACATATAACTTAATGTATCCCTTAGGATAAATATGATACTGAAAAAATATTCAAGAGGAAGTTTGTCGTCAGCACACGCTAAAGGAAAAGGAGTTCTCTCTTTCTCCCCCGACTATCTGAAAGGTCAAAGAAGAGCCTTTAACTGTCTCTTTCCACTGAGCTGTTTAACAGTTGTCTTGATAACGCAGCATCCGTCTCTCTGCTCTTGTGCCAGCAGTCATTTGCTTTCTGTGTGGGATAGAGAACTACATTCAAACTTGGAGACAGTTTCAATCTGTCTTTCTTTCTTATTCTAGGAAATGTACACGTATCAGTTAATTTAGAACACTGTAGTTTATATCTTCAATATGACTACACATACCTATAACCTAATCAGCAAGGTGATGCTTAGAATTTGTTTTGACTGTTCCCCCTACAGTTACAGTATGAAAGGGTTTTGTAGCTCACATAATGTGAATGTCTTATTACTGGCAGAGAAGACTAGTGTAAACATTTACTTGCTGGAGATCCATCCTGTGTTTATTTTAAAACTACATGCACCACCCAACACTTACATCATGCAAGGCTGATAAGGAGTGTGTAGCCAGCATTGCATATTATTTTTCCTCACTTCTTTTATTGTCCAAACCAAAGTCAATGGGAGAAATTAAATGGTGTAAAACCTGACATTTACCCTTTTCCAGGAATCGTGACAAAAAGGCTACCATGTTAAATATCTGAAATGCCAAACCATATCCCATTCCCTAACTTTTTTACCATGTCTGAAAATGAGTGCCTTTTTTCCACAAAGAAAATGGAAAGAAAAATTCACCCCTTTACCTCCCAAATGTGAAATGAAATAAATAATGACAGATGGCTGAGAAAGAGTCTAATGCTCCACGTGGCAATGATAAAAATAGAGTTTTTACACTAAAGTGTGAGGCTACGATGGTGTGAAGGGAGCAGAGAAGCTGAAATAAAATAGAGCCATAAAGAGACTGTGTATACTGACGGCAGCTGATGGGATAGTTTGATAGTGGTAAACTGTGGTATGCTCAATTCAAAGGATTCCTACTGAGAACTGCTAATTATTGGACCACAATGATCTTATAAAACTAGAGTCATTAATGTCAACTTGGTCTTTGATGAAATGCTGGATTAATAATGACACAGTTCAATAGACTTCCAGTGCATGGACTGTAACACCACTAGAGACACTGCTCGTGTTGCTGCTCAATGTCTCAGTTTAAACAGCCATAGTCAAGGAATCAAATCTTCTCCCATTTCAACCTTTGTCCATACAGTACCTTTAAAAAAAGAACCTCATCTGACCCAAAAAACATAACTTTTAAACTATCTTGAATCTACAGTATGGTGTCATGTTTGAAATATGGTGTTAAATGTTGCCTTTCCCCATATCTGTCCAGAATTGACTGTGCAGGGATCCTGAAGCTGCGTAATTCGGACATTGAGCTTCGTAAAGGTGAAACAGACATCGGACGTAAAAACACACGGGTGAAACTGGTGTTTCGAGTGCACATCAACCAGCCCAACGGCAGGACATTGTCGCTACAGGCTTCCTCAAACGCCATTGAATGCTGTAAGTTGTACATAAATAAACTTGCATTTTACTGGCATGCCTTTTCCCTTGGCTTCCCGCTTTTGGAAAAAAATTGGCATCTATTGTGGTAATCCAATAAAATGAGCTTCTATTTTATTACCTGCTGGAGCAAACTAGGGGTTTGCAGTCAATGAGCTTTATATGATCAAAGCAATTTGCCAAGGCAATAGATGCATTGTACTTGATGCCAGACACACGTGTTATCTATCTCACTTCGTATTTTATGACTGAATGCACAAGTTATTGTGGTAAGACTTCTCCATTAGCACAGGTTCCATAGAGGTCATTTGCCAGCCCTACTTTTGGCACGGTTGAATGAGCGCTTTGAAAGAAATCTTTGTTTCTTTGTCATTCATTTGTGTATGTAGGTGTGATGTTATTTGCACCCAAGGAAGCCAATTAAAGTTAGATGGTGAGAAGGAGCTGGCATTATAGTTTATGGGTTAGGGTAAGGTTCTAAAGGGGATGTTACTCTGTGTTTGTTCATCATAACAGAGTTGTATTCACTGTTACTAGATTTATTTAGTTGTTTAGTGAAATCCTTTTTTTAACAATAATGCAATGGGATGAAAAATTAAATAAGAGTAGTTCCGATGCCATTTTGTCCTTTCCGTTATTTAATCATTTTAACTTGCATCTTGGCAGATATCGAGTATTGACCGGAAACCAGTGCGTTAAAAACAGATGTCCGTTCTATGTTGGGATTTTGCTGTGTTAAATATCGGATCTGTGCAGAGACTCTTTCCTTGGCATTAATATAATCCAGCATTTAAGGCTGTATCAACTGCTTTTCCGATACTGGTAACCAGACGACTCACTAAAATATACAGTTGCAGAATGTGACAATAAATATATGTGATTCTGTCTGTGAATCTGATCACAAAATCCCAAAGGCCGAAGGTGCCTAGGTCGCCCGATTTATAGAAAGCAGAGACAGGTGGTTGACGGCATGCTTCTTGATGGAAAATAATGACTAAGAAACAGATCATGAAGATATTTTTTTTTATCAGACGTGCTTTTTAAAAAACATTTAAAGAGCAGCTGTTGGCTGAAAACCTCTTAGCTAGGGGTCATGAAATCATCATAATAAAGTTGATAAGACTGTTTCCATAACAAAGAACTGCTGTTTCACTGGCTTTGTGCCGGGCTTGTGCTTCTCAGGGTGAATGGAGATCAGGCAGTGACTTTATGTGTGTGTGTTCCCCTCCAACAGCCCAGCGCTCGGCTCAGGAGCTTCCCTTGGTTGAGAAGCAGAGCGTGGAGAGTTACCCAGCCACCGGCGGCAAAATGATGCTCTTGAGTGGCCTCAACTTCCTCCCTGACTCCAAGGTGGTGTTCGTAGAGAAGGCCCAGGGTAAGCTGCCAACACCAAGTCGTGTTTACTGCCTCTCAATTTCCACTCTTAATATCTCTTTGAAATGTCTCTTTCCCTCTCTGCCTCTGTCACGTTTCCTCAGTCTCTCCTCCCGTCAAAATACAGCAGGCCCTGCCAGAGAGCCACATGTGGTGCGCATTAAGCCACTATATTTTTAACCAAAGCGTATTTACATTTGCTGAAGTTTCCATTGCCTGTTCAGTGGTGCTCGCCACAAGTAAAGGAATGAATCACAACCAGGGCATGTGCAACGTCTTTTTCTCTCACTTTCCCTCTCTCCCTCCCTGACTCCCATGCTTTGACATTTAACCCTCTCACTTACTTTCATTTCTGTAGCTCCCTCTTTCAACGCTTCTTCTGGATACTCACCCCGGCTGCATGTCACTGACTCTCGGTTAAGAGGCTATGTCGTTAATTTTTGTCCATCCGTTTCCTTCCCGTGTGGGAGGGAGCAACGCTCAAAACACTACTGATCAAGTTTGCAAGTGAATGATCATTTCCTTGATTGCTCCCACTGAATCTAAGCAAAGGTCAAGCACAGTGATACCCTTGTGTCTGTTGAAAAATAAGGATGATGAGCAAAAACTAAAGAAGGATTAGGGAGGTATCTCCGCAAGTGTCCACCAATTGAGTAATTATAGATTCCATAATTTATGATGAACCTTTCTCATCATCTGCACTTTTCTCCCCTACTAGACCAAGGCCATTGGATAACGAACTACTAAATCCATTGCCTGAATCAGTACAACATTCCTTAAATCACGTGGATCTGATTGTTGCTTAATTTTCCCCATATTTTTTTTTATTCTGATACTTCAAAAAAGAAGACAAGCTATGAAATGATTTTACTGCCTTGTCTTCTTACCTTGCCGCACCCTGTGAGAGTACTCCTAAGTGCCTCAGGGTTAAGAGATAGGTACAGATGGGGTCAGGGGAGGTGGATGAACTTGGTCAAATGGGGTCTCCCTCCTCCTGGCTTTACTTAGTCATGGAAGGGGGATCCCCTGGAGAGGAAAACACACACACACACACACACACACACACACACACACACACACACACACACACACACAGACCTTGGCCGCTCTGCTCCCTGCTATTTGAGACTCATGACCCCTTCCAGGTTGTGTTACTCTTTTTACTCCCCCTCTTTCTCTTCCTCTTCCTTTAATTCTCTAATTTCACTCCCTCATCCTTTATTCTTCTTACCTCTATCCTCAATACCCGTTAAAGACATTAGCCGGCTTGGAGCTCTACGCTAGCGGGATCCCCTCACTCGTGCCTGCTTTGGACATTTCAGTGGTTTGTTTTTCAACTCTGTGTCGAAAAGGGGAGAGGGAGAAATCGAAAGAGATGTTGTCTGTCTGCTACTCAGTAGGCTTTTATGTAAACTTTAATGACCCACTACTTCCAGGGTCTCCTAAGTCGAAAAGTCCATTACAGACGAATGAACACACATGCACACACAGGAACACATACATCACTCACTAATGGTAACTATCTTTGAGCAAGCATTAGTGTGGAAAAGTACTCGTGTAAATATACTACTAAATGTTGTTTTTGGGAATCTTATTCAAAGAATCCCGCTGTTTCAGGAAGGCTACCAGACTTCAAATCTGTCTGATTGTTGATTTAAAAAGACCAAACTGCAATGGGGGAAAAAAAGAAACCAATACAATTATAATTATATTACAGATTTATTCTATAACTTAGGTTTTATTTCACTCTGAAAAAGTTCATGACTGCACCCATGAAATACAGAGCAATGCACCACAATGATTACTAGTCACAGACATGTGCTTATACATGGCTTATACACACAGTGGCACACACAGACAAGCTCTTTGTACAGCACAACACCAATCACTGCTTTTGCCACAGTGGTGACAGCACATTAATGTTACTGCCATCAAGGCCGGGACGGCTGCTCATTTTCCAAAATTGACTCCAATAAACACCTTCCAGAAAGTTCCACAAATCATAAGGAGCAACAGACAGTTTTTGAGTGTCCAAATCCAACTTGTGTTAATGATTATACGTACGTTACCATCATCCAAGTTGAGTCAGAGGGAGATCACACACAGCACCAAAGCATATTAGACCAAATGAGACAGCCATAAATCATAGATTCATGTATTTCTTTAACTGTTAACACTCAAGGATGATGCTGCTATTAGCAAAAACATTCCCGGATGTCTATTTTGGAAATGTCTGCTTTGAAAACAACAAAAGCAGATGTCAATTAATTACCGGACTCTTAAATGATGGGTGACATTAACATATGAGGGTTTCTCCAAATAACAATTTATTATGAAGGAACACCAAAAACATCCATTAGCTCTTGGCAAATCAGTGACTCTACTCTGTTACCACTTCAATGTAAACATTTTAATCCGGGCATACACTGTCTGATTTGATTTTGGAGCCACACAACACATTTAGAGTCAGACTGGATACCAGCCTTGATGGGAGTTGTCCCCGTTACAGTGGACAGGGGAGACCGAGGACTTGTATAATGATATGTTCGTTGTGAAGCACTTTGGCAAACCCTCTGTTTTTAAAATGTGCTATAGAAATAAAGTGGATTGGATTGTTCAGGTCATCTGCTCCTGACCAGTTGAATGAACTTCTCAGGCCCTCTCAAAGTTAAAGCGGAGTCATGATCCGATATTGCAAGTTCTCACTGTTCCCCATTAGTTAACAAGGAATATGTAGCTAGCTTACCTCCAGTTCTCTAAGCAAAATGGAAAAATCATACAGTCTATGTATTCCAAGCCAACTGTAGTAGCACGTATGTTCTTGGCACAAATGATTGTTAGAATTATTGTAAACCTTATTGGTACCATCAAAGACCGTTGCCACTAAACATCTCTACCTTCTTTCAAATACATATTTGTATCCTATCCACTATATTACTTTACATATAGTGTTAGAACTAAAACTGTGGCTGGACAATTGAGAAGTTTAAGCACTTAAATATTGTGCTTTGGCTTTACATCACAGAGGATAAATTGGTGCAATAGGAGTTTGGGCTTATACTGTATGGTTTCAGAAATATTTCCTCTATTAAAATGTATGTCTTACTCTAATTGAAAATAGGTTCTATAGATTTTCAAGACATAAAATAATAAATAAATAGACAAGTTATAAACTTTGCTACATTAAAAAGTATGGATATGTGACAAGAGTTCTAAATGTTGTTATCTCTCGATAGGAAATTACTTAAATGCGAGACCGTTAAAAAACCTCTATGTACCATATTTTCCCTTTGTGTTCTGCTGTCACTTTAAACTTCCTTTCTTTCCCTCTGTGTTGTTTTGATTGTCTGTCTGCCCCCCATGAGATGTCCTTAGTATCAAATGAGCAGAGCTCATAGCTGTTGCCACAGTGGGAGAACTTAATGCGCCTTGAAAAATAATTACTTCTGCTTTTCAAATGCCAGGTCTGTCCCCACTGCTCCACTTCATCACCCACAGGATAACTGATGCAAACTGTGTGCATCCACCGCGTGTGTGTTTGTTGTTGTGTACTGTATGTGTGCGCGCAGCGTCCCTGTTAGCCTGCGGGCCTGTTTGCGTTGTTCAGTAGGAAGTGTTTTCAGTGAGTCATCCGCGAGGGATTCCCTGTGGAGGGGTGAGACGGAAAAGACAAGACCCTTAGAGGGTAGGGAGAGGAAGAGGGGAGGAAGAGGAGGCAAAAAAGACAGGCCTTCCTTAGAAATCCTGTGACATCGGAGGATAAAAATGATCATATGCTGACCTGATATTGACTCTTCAGTGAATAATAATAATAATAATTCAGGGTCAACTTCTACATTTCCCAACAAATAGTTTTATGTTTACGTGACTTTTATCGACATGTTTCATCGTTCAATGTATTAGTTATCATTATTATAACTGCTTCACCTTGTTTTTAGCTCATCACAGACCACACATGCAGAGAAACAACAGTGGCTAGATAATGATAGACTTGAAAAACCCACAACCAGAAGTCCACTTTTTCTCCTGCTGTAATGTAAACATTCTTTTCAATGGTAATTATTGTTGACATGTATTTTTAATACGCCTTATCAGTTTTTTTCCTCTGCAGTTGAGAATTGTACCTTTCACATTGCCGCAAAGTAGGCATTTATGAAGCTTTCCATCTTCTTTTGCTTAGTTTCGCTTGATTTGTATTATATTATGTGTTGAGGTTGTGTCAGTGTTTTGCCTAAACCGCTCTTTTGGCACTTGAGTGAGAAGACATACCTGGCGCACCTTGTGCAGCGTGTGTTCTGGCTTGCCCTAACCCTTTCCATGGATGGAATGAGTGCTACAGGCAGGGAAAACAGACAGACAGACAACCAGAGAGAAGGAGAGAGAGCTGGGGAAAGCCTACACTCTGACTCAGAGGGGAGGTAACGGAATTCCCTGGTGGGCTGGATAGTTTTTACATCTGGTCGGATTGGAGCATTGCCTGGAGCTCGGCAGCACCACACATGCCTGGGATGCAGCAGGGAGAAGCCTGGTCTTCTCCACCTCCGATTCAGGCTGGTCCAGCTCCACAAGTCCACAACAATACCTCTAGTCTGTCTCTCTTGTCATCTCTCTTGTCATGTGGAAACTCCTCTGCAACAGGCACACATATTTGGATTTGGGTTCTTAATCATTCGAGAGACGCAGGCCTTATAGAATGTGATCCGTAGTGTTAGAGTTTTTTCTGTTTAGTCTTTGTTGAACACTTCTACCCTGGGCAAGTCTAAACACCAGACAAATCGGTCGATGTATTGTACTTCTAGCGGTATGTCTAGACGGCCCTTTGGCTTAAGGCTAGGATAACCTGCATAATCTTGGCTCATATGAAGGCACATGGCAGTGTAAAGTCAGCCTCCACCCCTGCTCCAGGCATGTGGTGAGAGAAGAGTGAGTTATGCTTTCTAATTAGGATGGCATTCTGCACCACAATCATTGATTATGTTTAATAATTGTAGTTCAAGGAGGAGCCCTATGACAGATCTGCAGGGACTTAACCTCCTATGCTTCTTTGCCATTCCACCTGAAACATACAATCACTCGTCAAAAGCTGTCCCTTAGGGTAAAAGGTATACCTATCTTGTCCTGGTATAGTTTCAGAAATGGAACATAACGTTTGTCTCTCAAACCCAATGTTTCTGACTTATTAAAGCCCATTCCTTTCATGTTGTAAAGTTTTATCAGCAACAGGCCAGTGCATACTTTTTGAAATACCTCTGCTTTTGGCATGTCTTAACATCAAAAGGTATCATAACTGAATGATGTCTAGATTGTCTTGTGGCCTCCACAATTATTTGAACGTGTCTGAAACATGACTCATATGTGGTTCAAATCCCTCTTACATTCTGTCAGTAGTGGGGTTTGTAAGTTAGGATCCTGCAGTGACCTTCCCTGGGCTCACCATAGAGAGCAACCAACCTCTATATCTTCCACCTGAACCCAAATATTATACAATTGTAAAAGTCTGGATGACCTTCCAGCCATCCCCTCAGTCTTTAGATCCTTTTCAGACTAAATACCACACAGCTGGAGTCTTGACAAAAGGATCATATCTGTCTCTTTTGGCCGCTATCCTCCTCAGCCTGCACCCACAGGTCAAGTCAGCTCACGTTGTTCCTGTTTTACACCAAGAATAACTCACTTCCTGACTATAAAACCATCACAAATCTACTGTCAGGTCATAATTTATACAGAAGCCTCTCAATCTGAAGCAGACTCGCATTTCTCCAATTTCACCACTCCTCAGTTTGGCAGAGGTCAGGTGCTTTAGAGGGAGAGCAGCTGCCCCTCAGGGAGAAGTCATGGGGGAACCCCTTTTGGCCTTTTGGCTTGGCTTCTCATTGGACACCAAGTTATTTGCTGTGAAATTACTGAAGCATTTAAAGTGTGGCTAGTAAAAGAAGAACTGCACTAAAATGGAAAATATTCTTCAAAAATGTTAAGCAAAAATTGCCAGAAAATCATCTACTGGAAAAGAGGCATTGCTGCAAAATATGTCTGGGTTGTTTCACAAGACAACATCCACAATTAGGCATGTGAATCATATTTTCCATCCTTAAGATATTTTCTTTTTGGTCAGTGGAAGTTGCTGTGCACAACACAACATTTTTAAGGAAGAAAAATCACCTGCAAGCCAAAACCTGCAAGGTCATGATAAGGACAGGGATGCCATTACTCAGCTATCCATTGCTTTGTACACAAGGACCCATCTCTTCATCTCTACTATTACCCAAACTTCCTGAAAATATGACGAATGATAGGATTTATTATTGCAACAACACTGTTGCTGTGCTTTGTGTGGTGTAACGAATTGAAGAAGACTCCAAGAAGCCCCACCTTCAATGTCTTCTAATTCTCTGATGAATGATTGTGTTGTCCTGGTTGTCTTTTGACGGGGCGTTGTGGATATCATTTGTACAAGGGAGTCATACAGAGCAATGGGCAGATGCTTGGTTTACCTTTTAAACTCAAAGCCTAAAAATAAGTTGCCCATTTGTGTTTGTGCTTCCATTCATTTTTCTCTTTAAATATGACTGGATTATGGATCCAGATTGATCTGAAAACAGCTCCAATAGCAACTATTATTTTGTGATTCCCTCTCATGTCATTCAATTTTTAGACCAGAACAAAGCAAGAGGATACTGTGGCTGCGTGTGTGCCTGCGTCTGCATCTGCTTGCGTGCATTTTGCGTGGGTGGAGGGTGCGTGAAGGAGGAGGTGTTGTCGGGAACAGAAGCTTTTTGCAGATGTTGCAGGGAAGACGGGGTGAATGGAAAGTTCTGCGGTTATCAGTCGTACAGCGCTCTCTGACTCGCAAAGGTATGCTACATGTGGGCCCTGCCAATTCAGTCTCCCTTGCACATTTGCTATGTCTAGTGGAGTAATCTTTGAAAAGTTTGGAGGAGCAAAGTGACAGAGAGATACAGAAGGTGAGAGAAAAGATCAAGGAAGGAAGAAAAGTTTGAAAAACATGTTTACTCGTGGAGGCTGGGATTGACGTCGTAGTCTAAGGTTTCCCACTTGGAGTGTCTCCCAGAGCGGAGGCGGGTGAGATTCCCTCTTGGTTCCCCTAGACGTAACATGAGGAACGCTCATCTCTGTTTGTCTCTGTCTTTCTCTGACCTTCTCCCGGTCTGTGCTCACTCTAATTGCCCTTCCTTTTTCTGAGCATATTGTGAGCCTCATTCTTTTGGGCATCTCAATCCACCATACATGGCAGTCCTATAGGACCCCTTCTTCTATTCCCTCGGTCATCATCTCCATTACAGCGAGGCACATTTCTCCATATGCAACTCTTATTTCCCCCCAAGTTCAAATAGAAAAACCCTTATCTGATCTGTTCACCGTCTGTTTTTCTCTTTCCTCGATTTTTAATATGGCCATTTTGGAAAGAGATATCTACTGATGTTCACTCCCTGAATAATAAAGCTGACCACCCGCCCCCACTACCACAGCTCACCAATAATAAACCAACCCTAGCTGGGATCCTATATTCTTTTACTTCACTGCCTGATGTAAAAAACATGCTAGACTTCTGCTATCAGTTATTTGGAAACTGAGTCTGATTATCTTATCTGATGGCTTCCTGTCCCAGAAGCAAGTTCAGCGTTTCAGCAGTGGATTCTATCCATGAAGCCACAGCTGGTGCTTACCCCAGCTAACATAAAGTAGCTGTGCCACAGTGCCCATGCTATTGCATCACATGGTGTGTCACTGACACAAAGAGTGTTCTGTGTCACTTCTATTTCTGACAGCTCTAATGAGTCATTGGTTCTTAAGGGAAAAAAAGAAACAAAATGGCACTGTGGTTGGTGCTGATTGCCCTAGCAGAGCCCAGAGAGTCTGTGTGTGCTAAGGTGTGGCATGAAATCACAGAAGAAAAAAAACAAAGAATGTGAGCTGAGCTTCTGCAGGCTCCCAACAGCTGCAGTAGCTCACAGACCTTTTTAGTGCATGGCAGCAAGGGAAACCTCCGACCTTACCACAACAAGATGGAGATGAGAAGAAAGGAAACCCAAGCAAAAGCTGCAGTTTTTCTAAGGGGTGTTATTTCACAGATCAAAGTTACAAAGTAAGAGAGAAGAAAAGGAGTTTTAAAAAAAGTTGCTCATCAAATATTTAATGAAGGGACGAAAAATAGTGGCACATTCAATGGTGATAGACACCGAAGATGAGAGATCCCACTTAAGAAGTTAAAGAGAGATACACTTTTTATTTATGTTACACACCTCCGGTCCTTCATAATAAGTGTGTGTAAAAGGTCATAGAACAGTGACCAATAGCTATCACTATTGTCCAAAACCTAAAATGACCTCAATTGGCTAGTGCTACAATACATTATACGTAATATGAAAAGGGGTGCCACATTTCTAACACGTCTTTAAGCTGTTGACCAATCACAACAGAGCTGGCCGACTAACCAGTCGTGGCAGACTTGGCTTTTGTTTTGGACAGAGGTGCTGCAGCAAGGGAAGTTTCAGAAAAAAATAAGCCTTTTCTGACCATAAAAGCAAGTCACAGTGGAGGCACAAAATACTAATATGAACCTAAATATTATCATATTATGTCCCCTTTAACTGAAAACCCAAACCATAATCTGTTCTTAAACCTAACAACATTGTAATCTTCATTCTAAGGGGAATATCTGAAAACTAACAATTTGTAAGATATTTTTCCAGACGTTGTGTGCGAATTGTTGCAGCATTAACATAAATGCCAGAGCACACATCTCTTCCGCATTACATTAGGTAAATCTCCATTTAAAGCCCTTGTTGTTTGTATAATACTTAATATTCCATTTAATTCTTTTTCCAATAGATGGGCATCATCTGTGGGAGACAGAAGCCAAAGTTGACAAGGACTCCGTCAAAAATGTAAGTGCACCTCACCAAAGTGACTCATTGGAAATGCTTCTTCAATACCACCCTCCCTTGACACTTTCTCTTTCTGTCTCCTCCTCATCTGTCCCCTGCAATGATGTAACCTTGGTTGAGGCGTTACAAGTTGCAAAATAGACAATGATGATTAGCTCATGCAATCCTGAATGGAATTTTCACAAAATGTCCGTACCCTAACGGAGTAAACACGGACTGTCATTTTGTTTTTGCATTCAACACGCTCGAATACATGCACATTGAGGACAAATAAAAGCGTGAACCCACACACACTCATGCCACAGTCTCTCCAGCATAGCAAGACTATTAGTTCACAGCAAAGTGTTGAATTGGACTTTAACACCTCGTCTGTGCCCGCGATCATGCAGCCAAGGACGGATTACACCCTGTGCTTTTACCTGCTGCTTTTCATGAGACGCGTAATGAGAAAATAAACCAACCAGCCACAGATTCAGATTGTGTTAATATAAAACTGAGTGAAAGGGAGTCGCCAAGAGAGGGAATGAAGCGAATGTTGTTCTACGTGTCACAGAAAGCCGCTTGTGTTCTGGAGTTAATTAAGACTTGACTGAGGTTCGTTAGGCCTGCTCTCGGGGCGGAGAGTTGAGCACAAGGTCTCCGAAAATCTGTTTGCTTGTGCGTGATGACAGTATGTTTTGAATTGCCGATGCCTTTCATCAGCGTCTCGTCCTCCCCCCCACTTCCCCCGTTTTTGTGTAAACTAACCAAGGCAATTTACACTTGCATGGAGTCTAAAATTAACAACACGCATGTAAACGGTGCAACTTGAGGCTGTTTTTCTCCTTGTTGTTGCTGTTATTTGACTCAGGTAAATGACATGGTTGCATCAGGAGGGTAAATATTGAGTCTAATGTCTAATTGGCCTGTAGGGCTGGTTGATGTGCTATGGCTAGAGTCCCAGATGCTGGAAAATTAGCAGGCGTGCAAGGCTTAGCTGGGGGTTGTTGGGAGGCGAGGTCGATGATATAAAAATACGCATGTTTATTTATAAATCTAACATACAAGTAGGCAACGACAGCAAGACAGCCCTGGCCTTCATCATCATCAGTCGCCACTAGACTACACTAAAGTGCTCCAGACCGCCCGCCCAACAGTGTTTTTATTGCCGTCCAGAGCGTGCTAACTTTCATTGGATAGGATGGAGAGGGAAAAGCCATGTGCACATGCACACACTTAACACACTCAATCAGCCACCTGCATGTGTCGTCATGCATGTGGAGGGCAGACGAGGGTGGAAGACGCAGGCCCCCCAACCTCCACCGCTCCCTTACTGCTCCGTTTATCCACAACCTTCTTCTGTCAAAGACCCGTGAATGACAGCCATCCTAGGAATTAGACACAAGAAACTCAGGTTCCCTTGTCAGAAAGCAAGCAGTCGAAAGTTCAGATACGTCCAGGCTTGCCAAGGTCTGGCCTAGAGGGGAGGAGGGGGAAAGGCGAGCCTCTCCACAGGGACGCATGGCTGTGCAAACAAATAAGCCGGCTACCTCTCTCCTCTCTTGCTGTAAAGGGACAAAGGTAAAGCCCTGGGGTTTTCCTCATAGAAAAACATGGGCACTGGACCAACCTCATGGGCTCTACTACTCCGTCTACACAGTCCAGACAAGCTCATTTAGACTAGTCCTAGCCGAGCCTCTTGGAAACAGTACCCTAAATGAAGGCTAGCTGTAAAATAAACATAGCTGATGATTAATAGGCTACAGGAAGTGCTAGTACAAACTTACATTTGCTGTAAGAGTTCCATGAAATCAGATGAGTAAATACAACTAATTACTTGATGATGGTATCAGCTGCTGTATTATCTCATAAAGAGGAAATGTCATATTGCATCTTATTTATATTTTAGAATTCTCTTGTTGTGGAGATCCCGCCGTACAGGAACCAGAGAATATCCAGCCCGGTGCAGGTCGACTTCTACGTCTGCAACGGCAAGAGGAAGAGGAGCCAGTGCCAGACCTTCACCTTCCTGCCTCCAAACGGTAATCATCATAAATATTTCCCCCTTCTTTTTTGGTGACACTCAAAGACATTTTCACCAGCTGCACATTCTGCATTCATCTCATAGAGTATTTCTCCAGGTCTTGACATCCATCCACTATAGTATACCCCAGCTGTCAACATGCCATGTGAAATTTGCGGCCAGTTTTTGGTCTGTGTTTCTGACTTGATGCCCTGGCACCTCTTGGCCGTAGACTGTGAGTGAGAGCAGAAGATGTGAGGAGTGTTTATTCTGTAGTGAGAGTGCGTTCCCCAGCGATGAGGTGTACCTGCTGAGTGACAGAGCCTCCGAGCGCTGTTGATGAAGAGAAGTCAATCCCCCGGCGACCTGACTTTCACACTCCACCTCACACAATGCCCTCCTGGTGCACCAACACACAAATACACATCCATGCGCGCACACACACATGCATCTACCAGGCAGTGCTTTGCCCTGTCATTCATGTATCAACCTGAAAAACCCAGGACTACCTCTCTCTGTGTTTATCATGTGTCCCTGGCTTCAGTGTGTATAGATGGCTTTCACATTGGAATTTGAAGAATGTATTGCAGAGAGTTAAGAGAAGAGCTCAGCCACACAATAACAGTGTGAGCTATGGACTTTTCACAATGGGTGCAGGCATAATATCAGCGTTAGTATCACTTTCACTATCCAGATGGATTACTCTTATATTTATCTATGTGTATTCAGATATAATTAACTTCAGCAAACCAACATTTTCCATTAAAGTGCCAGTCCTTTGCTGTTGGCCGTTGAGCAGGTTCACTGATATATTAGATCAAAACAATGGTATCTTGTATTCATCGATCGGTGTCTGATGGGTCTAATGCTGTTGGGAGAGCATGGATTGTGTTATAAGTCTTCAGCTGTTAATACGATGTGACATTTGGATTATCAGCAGATGTATTTATTGCCACAGGAGATAAGTGATTGGGATTTTGGATGAAGCCATGAGACAAAGAAAAGCAAGACCCTATTTGGAGATGCCTGATTATATGATGGGTTCATTCTGGGTTACTGAACCAGTGCACAGCAGACACAGTGTGTCCTTATAAAGCCGATCCATTTCATAAACTGTACTTCCACGGGGAAAGAGAGACAGGGTGATGTGGAGGCTTATCGGTCTCCGCTATGCATCTCTAAGTCATTTCCCTGAGCATAAAGATAGCTCTAATTAAAAGATGACTTGTTTTGTTCTCTCTTTGTTGCCAAGTAAACCACAAGTACAGTGTGGACCACACAAGCAGGGCCGATATCTTCGTAAAGGAGCATAATTAACTCACAAGTGTTACCACCAAAGAGACCACATATCACAAACTATTGAGTTCTATTTTGAGATTTACCAAGCTTTTGAAGACACACAATAAAATATACGACAACAATTTCCCTAAAAACAAATATTGTGTATTTAAATCAAATATTTGTATATTACAACAGTGCTGGATAACAGCTGAGGCAGTACTGCCATGATCGCAGAAATAAACTCTGTAAATCTATGTGGGAAGCATAGCCTTTACAGTCACAAGCAAAGATTAAATGTGCAGCACTATTGACATGTGCTATGTACTTTCAATGTGATTTGAACGTTGTTTGAATAATAATGTATCACTCTACAGTTGTTTTTGTTTATGTCATCAGGATTGCAGAAAATTTACTTTTCATGAAACTTGGTGTAAGGATGGGGCTAATAAAGGCCCATTTTGGAGTGGTCCCGAATCAAAGGATGGATATAGTCATTATTGTTCACTTTTGTTTATATTGTAAGATAGGGCATTGGGCCATCGCTCTCCAAATTCCCTAGTTGTAAATATAGTTGTGTAAAGGCAAATTTCAGTTTCCAAGGTGTTTTAAAAAAGCAATATTCAGAGCTCTCTGATTCAAATTACATTCACAAAGAAGACTATATAGGTTATAATTAGTGTACACAGACCCTGATGATGATGGTATTACATTCATGGTGTCAATACAGCAACAAAGAATGAGGAAATCCTAGTTAGGCTGTCTGCTTTTGAGGGTTTCTGTGTGTGTGTGTGTGTGTGTGTGTGTGTGTGT